GGAACGGCAGTACACATGAATCATTCAGAGGAACGGCAGTAACTGAATCATCAGAGAACGGCAGTAACTGAATCATCAAGAACGGCAGTAACAATCATCAGAGGAACGGCAGTAACTGAATCATCAGAGGAACGGCAGTAACTGAATCATCAGAAGAACGGCAGTAACTGAATCATCAGAGGAACGGCAGTAACTGAATCATCAGAGGAACGGCAGTAACTGAATCATCAGAGGAACGGCAGTAACTGAATCATCAGAGGAACGGCAGTAACTGAATCATCAGAGGAACGGCAGTAACTGAATCATCAGAGGAACGGCAGTAACTGAATCATCAGAGGAACGGCAGTAACTGAATCATCAGAGGAACGGCAGTAACTGAATCATCAGAGGAACGGCAGTAACTGAATCATCGAGGAGTAACGATCAGTAACGGAATGAAACATCAGAGGAACGGCAGTAACTGAATCATCAGAGAAACGGCAGTAACTGAATCATCAGAGGAACGGCAGTAACTGAATCATCAGAGGAACGGCAGTAACAATCATCAGATGAACGGCAGTAACTGAATCATCAGAGGAACGGCAGTAACTGAATCATCAGAGGAACGGCAGTAACTGAATCATCAGAGGAACGGCAGTAACTGAATCATCAGAGGAACGGCAGTAACTGAATCATCAGAGGAACGGCAGTAACTGAATCATCAGAGGAACGGCAGTAACTGAATCATCAGAGGAACGGCAGTAACTGAATCATCAGAGGAACGGCAGTAACTGAATCATCAGAGGAACGGCAGTAACTGAATCATCAGAGGAACGGCAGTAACTGAATCAGAGGAACGGCAGTAACTGAATCATCAGAGGAACGGCAGTAACTGAATCATCAGAGGAACGGCAGTAACTGAATTATCAGAGGAACGGCAGTAACTGAATCATCAGAGGAACGGCAGTAACTGAATTATCAGAGGAACGGCAGTAACTGAATCATCAGTGGAACCTGTAACTGAATTATCAGAGGAACGGCATGACCTGAACTTTCAGGGAACGGGAGCAGACTAACACTGATTAGCAGGAACGGTCCAGCATGAACTACACCTGTGCAGAACTGTCAGCTGACCTAACACCTGTTGCAGGAACTGTCCAGCATGACCTGACACCTGTTGCAGGAACTGGTCCAGCATGACCTGACACTTGTTGCAGGAACTGGTCCAGCATGACCTAACCTGTTGCAGGAACTGGTCCAGCATGACCTAACACCTGTTGCAGGAACTGGTCCAGCATGACCTAACACCTGTTGCAGGAACTGGTCCAGCATGACCTGACACTTGTTGCAGGAACTGGTCCAGCATGACCTAACACCTGTTGCAGGAACTGGTCCAGCATGACCTAACCTGTTGCAGGAACTGGTCCAGCATGACCTGACACCTGTTGCAGGAACTGGTCCAGCATGACCTGACACCTGTTGCAGGAACTGGTCCAGCATGACCTAACACCTGTTGCAGAAACTGGTCCAGCATGACCTAACACCTGTTGCAGGAACTGGTCCAGCATGACCTAACACCTGTTGCAGGAACTGGTCCAGCATGACCTAACACCTGTTGCAGGAACTGGTCCAGCATGACCTAACACCTGTTGCAGGAACTGGTCCAGCATGACTAACACCTGTTGCAGGAACTGGTCCAGCATGACCTAACACCTGTTGCAGGAACTGGTCCAGCATGACCTAACACCTGTTGCAGGAACTGGTCCAGCATGACCTAACACCTGTTGCAGGAACTAGTCCAGCTTCAATCCCTCTCAACACACACAGAGAGAGAGAGATGAGATGAGAAGAGAGAGAGAGAGACGAGGAGAGAGAGAGAGATGAGAGAGAGAGAGAGAGGAGAGAGAGAGAAACGAGAGAGAGAGAGAGAGAGAGAGAGAGAGAGAGAGAGAGAGAGAGAGAGAGAGAGAGAGAGAGAGAGAGAGAGAGAGAGAGAGAGAGAGAGAGAGAGAGAGAGAGAGAGAGAGCATTTTTTCTAAGTTATACAGATGTTTACTTTGTCTCGGCTCTAAGAGAAAAAAAATAACATTTACCAAGAAATATTTGTCAAATTAAATATGGAGGTGTATACATGATGAATTATTATTGAGATAGGTAAAGCTCTACCAGCGACCCCTAGAGTCCGTGGTCGTCTCTGTACCATCGACCACTCGAGTCCGTGGTCGTCCTTGGTTACTTTCAAGTTCAAGATCACACGCAATACCCGTGTGACACGCAGGGCAAGCAAGCTTACCCAATTATAGCGTGGGGAAGCCTGAGGCAGGGAGGGAGGAAAGGAATGAAGGAGTCAAGGAGGGGAGGGGAGTGGGGAATACATTCCCATCTGGGAGCGGTGACCGAGGCTGACTCCACAGGCAAGTCAACCAACCGTAGGCACCCACTCATCATCTTGCTTAAATACACAATATTTCATAGAGAGTAGTCATTCCTTGCAAAACACTCGTCAATGCCTTAGAATTAAGTCTTCGATAATTGCAGACGTCTCCTACAATATCTGGTGTAAACGGCACGAATCTGCAGCTGTATTCAATTTACTTTCGTTACCTGCTACTGGTTCTAGATAACATTTACTTTATATCTGATTGTTTCCACAACCTGCGTAGACTATTAAAAAAAAAATAACATGGAAGCCCGCTAAATTAACTGAAGGAACAAATGTAATAACCACGAGGAAACTAAAACACACACATCCAAGCCACCTCAGTCAAATATATGGATACGCGGGAAGCTCGAAGCAACAGCCTGGTTGACCAGTCAACAAGGAAGTCGGCCGATCCGGGAATCTCTCTCATTCAGCACCACCACAACTTTTTTGATAAATTAGACACATGTGCAACACTTAGGTATTTTTACTGCGGAAACGTATCGCCACTCAGTGGCTTCTTCAGTCCAATACAAAGAAGAATGTGGAAGATCAAAAGAAGTTTGATGTAATGAGTCCATGAATCTTGATAAGAATACAGCATATGCTCGAAGAAGGGACTTATACAGTGCAGACAGGTGATGTAGTGGAATTTATCAATGTATCGGTTCTCTGAAGTATTTATTTACACCACTTGTTAATGAGGCTGGTGTCAGTGTTCTGGTTGTGCTCGGTATGGCTGCTACTTGTGTTCTGGTTGTGCTCGGTATGGCTGCTACTTGTGTTCTGGTTGTGCTCGGTATAGCTGCTACTTGTGTTCTGGTTGTGCTCGATATGGCTGCTACTTTGTGTTCTGGTTGTGCTTGGTATGGCTGCTACTTGTGTTCTGGTTGTGCTTGGTATGGCTGCTACTTGTGTTCTGGTTGTGCTTGGTATGGCTGCTACTTGTGTTCTGGTTGTGCTTGGTATGGCTGCTACTTTGTGTTCTGGTTGTGCTCGGTATGGCTGCTACTTGTGTTCTGGTTGTGCTTGGTATGGCTGCTACTTGTGTTCTGGTTGTGCTTGGTATGGCTGCTACTTGTGTTCTGGTTGTGCTTGGTATGGCTGCTACTTGTGTTCTGGTTGTGCTTGGTATAGCTGCTACTTGTGTTCTGGTTGTGCTTGGTATGGCTGCTACTTGTGTTCTGGTTGTGCTTGGTATGGCTGCTACTTGTGTTCTGGTTGTGCTTGGTATGGCTGCTACTTGTGTTCTGGTTGTGCTTGGTATGGCTGCTACTTGTGTTCTGGTTGTGCTTGGTATGGCTGCTACTTATAACATTTTTACGTGGCAGGATTTTTTATTTTGCTGTGTGTATGACTTGTTCTGTTTTTCCATTGATTTATGCGCTCCCACTTGTTTCTTTTCGACATTTTTATCTGCTTGCTTAGTTTCTCGTTTATGTTTACGTTTATCCCCACTATTTTTTTTCACTGAAATTGTTAGTTCCGTTCATGTAACACAGTGAACATTGTATGTCACTGTCACATGTCACTGGTCTCACTGCTGGAGTACTGCTCTTATACTACGTTCTCCTTCAATTTGAACGTAGTCAAAATTGTAGAACTAGAGAATGTACAGAGAACCTTCACAGCTCGTTTAACCTCAGTCAAGCACTGAAATTACTAAGTGCGCTTGAGGTCCCTTGACCTGTACTTCTTAGAGCGTAGGCGTGAAAGCTACATCATAATCTACACCTGGAAGATTCCGAGGATATTGGTCCCAAACTTGCACACCGACAATCTATATTGAAGCACGAAGCTTGACAAACATACCTTACCTTTCATGAGTTTCAAGAGTTTTTCTACTCCTGGAGCCCGACCCTGGGCCAGGCTTGTCTGGTGCTTACCTGCTCAATCAGGCTATAACTGCTGGTCCACATGTCCATCAAAACCTGGAGTGGAACAGTCCAATAAGTTGGGGCGAACTTATTGGACTGTTCCACTCATTCACAGAGTACACTATCATACATGGTCCAGCCAACACTGTCATACATGTTCCAGTCAACACTGTCATACATGGTCCAGCCAACACTGTCATACATGTTCCAGCCAACACTGTCATACATGTTCCAGCCAACACTGTCATACATGTTCCAGCCAACACTGTCATACATGTTCCAGCCAACACTGTCATACATGGTCCAGCCAACACTGTCATACATGTTCCAGCCAACACTGTCATACAGGGTCCAGCCAACATTGTCATACATGTTCCAGCCAACACTGTCATACAGGGTCCAGTCAACATGGGCATACATGCACATACCGTTCCAGAGGGATATGTAAATATCGAGTTAAATGTCGTTATCAACACTCCCAGCTCATCGATGAATATGCTAGTGAAAGGAAAATGTCGCTTTAGTAAAGTGTGTGACCGTGCAGCCTTGTATTCACGTTGTATAAACAAAGTACAGTGAACATGTGTCTATTTAAGTCCCATGCACACCCGAATTTGAAATAGAAAACAAGAAACTGTGTTGCGTGGAGATAATGGAAAGTAAGACAGAAAGATGAGTAATAACGGGAAGAGGACAATGGAAGAACAATGAACACAACTCACGATATTTAAAAGTGGTCGGGAAAATCCCCAGCTCTGGAATAACCACCACCACCGCTGCAGGCGGACACCAGCTGACCGACCACCCACCCTCCCTCCCTCCGACGAGCACTGAATCAAGTCAGCACGCGAACTACACCAGAGACCAAGATTATCAGCCAATCAAACCATTTGAGCCACCAAGTTCTCTTTAACAAAACCAACGAACATGACGACGATTAACCGACCACATTTGATTCTAATCTTTAATTAATGTGTCATGATTTACGCTCCCACGTGATCTTACACCATCTTAAAAACAGTACTTGATGTGTTTTTGGTAGCCTCATCATAGTAACGACGGAATTTCGACTATCATAACTTATAATGTAGCCCTGAGTGAGAGTCATGAGATGGTAACACTGCCACACATCCTGGTACCCTCAAGCGTCAGTGCAAGGTAAGAACCTGCCGTCTAGGGTACTCAGGAAGGGCATCTGGTGCGGGCAACTAATGCCAATGATAAGTGCCCATCAGACAAACTAGGCTGGTATTTCCTCGCTCCGGGTGGAGGGAGGAAGGGCAAGAGGTTAAGAAGCTCTCTTCCATTATAGACAAACTTATATATATATATATATATATATATATATATATATATATATATATATATATATATATATATATATATATATATATATATATATATATATATATATATATATAAATAAATAAAAGGCACAATACTGTGACTGGAACAATACACAAATAACCCGCACATACAAGAGAGGAGCGTACTACGACTCAAGAAATCGTAATGACACGATTGCAAACAAATCATACCCCCGGCTGGGATTGAACCCGCGGTCATAGAGTCTCAAAACTCCAGCCCGTCGCGTTAGCTGGTCTAGTGGCTAACGCGACGGGCTGGAGTTTTGAGACTCTATGACCGCGGGTTCAATCCCGGCCGGGGGTATGATTAGCGTACTACGACGTTTCGGTCCAACTTGGACCATTTAAAAAGTCACACTAACAGAAAGGAGTCACCGTTTGGTTGAATCCTCCCTTATATACAACTTTCCTTGCATGACTCTTGGTCCTGTCTCTGTAGATGCCTTCCCTCCCCATTACGTTGTAAAATGCTCTAAACTTCACCCGTGACTTAACCTGATTCTTTTTTTCCCCCTTCTCCCTCTTCCCTTGTCCTCTTTTTCCTTTGGGTTTCTTTCTTCTGTCTTGGGTATTTGTTCTTTTATTATTGCCCCCCTCTGAGTTCTTGTTCCTACCTTCTGTGGGCCCCTAGCTCCCTTGCAGTGCTCCTCTTTCTTAGTATTTGACTAACTGCACTACTACCTCTCTTGATCCCGTCAATGTCTGCTGGCCTATATATACTCCCTTCTTCTCTCCTTTCTGTTAGTGTGACTCTGTCAATGGTCCAAGTCGGACCGAAACGTCGTCGTAAGCTCCTCTCTTTTATGTGTGGGTTATCTGTATTAGTTATACACACACACAATATACCAGAAACTTTCATAGTAACACTCAGAAATTTGCACAAGGCATTTTGTATAATTGTATACGCCAGTCACTGAGTATGTGGCGGCCTTGTGGCGGCCTTAAGTGTGGAGACTACACCAGATTAATCATACACAAATTTGAAAACATTTAAAAGGCTTGCAACTAGACCTGTCCAAAGCTAAAAGGATTACACCGTGAGACGTTGAGAGAATTATATGTAATGACCTTGATGAATGCAGTGACTGAGAGAAGCAAAATTTTAAGATGGATTAAGGGGGGGGGGCAAGCAGGGAAAAACTGTTTGAATTATGATCAGGGTCAAGGGGGGACAATTAAAACAGACGAATCACAAGAATGTTATGAAGTGCTTATTTAATCTCAGGTAGGCTGAAAAGTGGAATGAGTTGGATGAGGAAGTGATAGGGGCAAAAAATCAATACATAACTTCAAGAATAGGTATGATAAGGACCAAGAAGCTAGAAAGCAGTAGTACCCAGGAACACATGCATAAGTATGTGTTCCAGCACATGTACAGACCATCCTGAGAGATGGTAATTCTTAAGACCAGCTATGATAAAACAAATTTGTACCTTGAAAGCTACCGTTCCTACCAAACCAATGAAATAATACTTTACTATATCCTCATTACACTACTGAAGTTTCCCAGCTCAGACTGACACAGGTCATTACATCAAGTCGGCAACCTACGTGATGGAATATGACATGGAAAAATAGATTTCTTTTGCTCCTGAAATGCAACTATCATATAGCATAGCCTAGTAGCACTGCTGATTCCACTATGTAACTATCATATAATGATGACTCCACTATACAACTACAATGTAACAGTACACTACTGATGACTCCACTATACAACTACAATGTAACAGTATACTATTGATGACTCCACTATGTAACCATCATATAAAGCAGCAGCACACAGTTGATGTATCTAATTTTTTTTCACGTCATGACATAAGAATCCTGATAAGTTAAAAAAAAAATAGAATGAAAAAATTCCCATATATTGGTAACCGAGGGAATCCCCATGAGTAATAAAATGGAGATTCTCTACCCGGAGACTTCATTTTTATCTCTTATCCTTAACAAAGGAACCTATGTTATACACTACATTGTTTAAATAACGATTCATGATCAGTAGTCCGTGTTAAGACGAGGCTTAGTTTCCCTCTCTACTATAATCTACCTTGTTCATAATGACTATTACATTTGCTTTGTTTCGTAAGGGGAAGTCCAGGATCTTTGCTTAGTTCATGGTATAACTTAATAAATTTTTGATGACATTGGTGTTGCAGAGGTCTGAGCTTTGGTCACACCTCTACAACAATAAAATGTCACATTAATTGCATGTGTCCATTTGCCTAACAAGGGTGAGTGTAGCCTGGTTAAATGGCGGGAGTGACACAGGTGTGATGACGCCGCTAACGACCTAACATGACAAACAAAAACTCTACCGTCCTTCACACACTATATGATGAAATGTATAACAATACTGTGACACCTAGGTGTGTGTTTGAGGGCGACATGGGCTCTGTGTGCGGGGGGGGGGGGGGGAAATCGCCGGAACATCCTACAGGTAGACCCCAGGTTCCAAATCTCTGACTCAAGTATATTGTTTTAGTAATTAATGTCTATATTAATGACCAGACCCTCAAGTCTCTTTTTACAGGAGTTCTCTTTCTCTTAGCTGTTAAGTATTGTAATGATGTTATTAAAGCAGGTAAGGTGACCCCCCCCCCCCAAGCCACAGTAACCAGCCAATAAATTTGTTACTCTCCCGCTTCACATACACTAACGCTTTTATTATTCCTAATATTCTCTTTTTTTTTTTTTATACTTTCCTAATTATTAACTTACAATTTTGAAATTTTCGCTAACAATTTCCAGAAGACAATTACGATTTTTTTTTTTTTAGATATTTCTTCAAATCAAAGTATTTTGGATTAAAAGATGAGTTATTTATGTGGAAACACCTGCGCGCGCGCACCCCTACACACGCGCGCGCGCACACCCCTACACGCGCGCGCGCACACCCCTACACACGCGCGCACACATGCACACACACACGCGCGCGCGCACACACACGTATACACGTGCGCACACGCACGCATGCACCCCAACACGCGCGCGTGCACACACGCACGCACTCATCCACTATCCCTTCCGTTCTTATTTATTTTATTCATCCCTTCTTTTCCTTCCTCTCTCCACTCCCTTTATCCTCCTCCTCTCTGTGTGTGTCTGTACCCGGATAAACAGTTGGAAATATCTGGAGTATACCTAGAGAGGGTTTCGGGGGTCAACGCCCCAGCGGCTCGGTCTGAGACCAGGCTTCATGGTGGATCAGGGTCTGATCAACCACTATATAACTATAATATAGTAGTATACTACTGATGACTCCACTATACAACTATCGTATAGTACCTGACCAGCCTGGCTGGTAAGGTACTGACTTCAGGTGTCTGTCCAGTGCCTTCTTGAAGACAGCCAGGGGTCTATTGGTAATCCCCCTTATGTATGCTGGGAGGTGTAGGATTTAAACACCTTAGTATGTATGACATACCTGACTCTCACCCTCTACACCTGTCTGTCTCACTGCCATTAACTGACGGAGCATCGAGCCTCAACAACTCCTTGCACAAACTCTCACACATTTAATGCTTTACACACAAAAGCAAAAACTTACCACCACTCTAAGGAGAGTTCTGGTACCAGACTTATCAACCAGACTATTTCTGCCTACAAATCTTACATAACCATTACAACCTGAAAAATCTGAAGCATTCTGAGGGAACTGGTTCAGATTATTTTTAATAACTAAACTCTGCTCCGGTAATCCTAAGAAAATGAAAACTCAAGGCTTTATGAAATAAAAATGAATAAAAATGGAAAGAGAAATGAAGAAGTAACAAGACAAAACTGCAAACTTGTAGACGAAAATAATAAGTGAAGACAAGACTTGTATTGTGTTGCACAGGTCTGAGTCCTGCAACACAATTGTCATCAAAGATGTGTTAAGTTATACCATGAATTAAGTAAAGATCCTGGACTTCACCTTACGTAACAGACAAAGCAAATGTGATAATAATTACGGACAAGGTAGATTATACTGGAAAAATGAACTTGCTATTAGAAGACGAGGGAACTTAGGTGCCTCTTAAGTTTCAACTGACACAAGGCTGCTGGTGTTGCTGTTGGTGCTGCTGGTGCTGGTGGTGCTGGTGCTGGTGGTGCTGGTGCTGGTGGTGCTGGTGCTGGTGGTGCTGGTGTTGCTGCTGGTGCTGCTCTTGCTAGTACTATGACGCCACTCCTCAACAACACTGTTCCACAAAGAATAACAATGCACAATACCGTGACTACAGCAATAACCCGCACACTGAAGAATGAAACTTATGACGACGTATAGGTCCGACTTGTGACTTGTTTAACTAGTTAATGGTCCAAGTAGGACGGAAATATGGTCTTATAATTGATTGTGGTATGTGTGGGTTGTGTGTGTAATAGTGTTGC